GTTTTTAACATACGTTCAAATAATATGCAAATATATTTTATATTTTCACTACTTTTCGAACTAGAAATAAATTCTTTTTTTTTTATTAATGTTACGTTTTAATAATTTATTGAAATTTATTGAGATTTATTTACGGGTTTCAAGATTTTTTAGTGTTGAAGAAGTTCTCGTTTGTTGTTTGATTTGTTGTTACATTTTAGCGTTTTCAAATTGGTGGGAGTTGTATAAGATTTTCATTTTTTCGAATTTTCACATTTTTCCAAAGGTAATTTTAGAAATTCAAGTTTTCAGATTTCCACATTTTTCCAAAGGTAATTTTAGAAATTCAAGTTTTCAAATTTCTACATTTTTCCGAAGGTAATTTTAGAAATTCAAGTTTTCAGATTTCCATATTTTTCCAAAGGTAATTTTAGAAATTCAAGTTTTCGAATTTCCACATTTTTCCAAAGGTAATTTTAGAAATTCAAGTTTTCGAATTTCCACATTTTTCCAAAGGTAATTTTAGAAATTCAAGTTTTCGAACTTCTACATTTTTCAAGAGATAATTTCAGAGTTTCAAATTTTCGAAATTCTACATTTTTCAAGAGATAATTTCAGAAGTTAAAATTTTCGAATTTCTACAATTTTCAAAAAATAATTTCAGAACGTTAAATTTTCGAATTTCTCCAATTTTCAAAAAATAATTTCAGAACGTTAAATTTTCAACTTAAAAAAACCTTAAAATCAAATTTGTACATTTTCTTGAACGTCCCAGTGTGTAATGCAGAATAAAAAGTAATTTAGGAGGAAAATAAAAACACAGTAAAATTAACTAATCACTTTTTAATTCTAAGATAGTGGAATCGAATGTTTAATGTCTACTAAGATTTTACTCGCACGTTGTCATTCCCCTTTCCCCTAGCAAATTAATCGCGGCGTGTTCTCGAGCTAATTAATTAATCGATTAGTACAAGCGAGCACCGTTTGCTTGAAGTCTCGGCCGATCGATTAATCAATTCGCTGACTATGTCGCATTTCTCTTTCACTCTCGTGTTCAAGGCTAATTGTTTAGGCACCGAGTATGTACAAGCACACATGCACACATACGCACACACACGTGCACACACGTCAATTGTATCTGCAAACTGAACTGTTTATTTTTAAAGTGGTGTAAGTTCATTTGCTGGAATATTTTAGTTACATTTTTATGATTCAAAATTTGTATAATTACTTAAAAATTTGTTTAATTAGAAATTTGTATAATTACTTAAAAAATTGTCTAATTACAAATTGATATATTTACTTCAAAATTTGTTTAATTAAAAATTTGTGTAATTACTTAAAAAATTGTCTAATTAAAAATTTGTATAATTACTTAAAAATTTGTTTAATTAAAAATTTGTATAATTACTTAAAAATTTGTCTAATTACAAATTTATATAATTACTTAATAATTTGTCTAATTAAAAATTTGTATAATTACTTAAAAATTTGTCTAATTACAAATTTATATAATTACTTCAAAATTTGTCTAATTAAAAATTTGTATAATTACTTAAAAATTTGTCTAATTAAAAATTTGTATAATTACTTAAAAATTTGTCTAATTAAAAATTTGTATAATTACTTAAAAATTTGTCTAATTAAAAATTTGTATAATTACTTAAAAATTTGTCTAATTAAAAATTTGTATAATTACTTAAAAATTTGTCTAATTAAAAATTTGTATAATTACTTAAAAATTTGTCTAATTAAAAATTTGTATAATTACTTAAAAATTTGTCTAATTAAAAATTTGTATAATTACTTAAAAATTTGTCTAATTAAAAATTTGTATAATTACTTAAAAATTTGTCTAATTAAAAATTTGTATAATTACTTAAAAATTTGTCTAATTAAAAATTTGTATAATTACTTAAAAATTTGTCTAATTAAAAATTTGTATAATTACTTAAAAATTTGTCTAATTAAAAATTTGTATAATTACTTCAAAATTTGTCTAATTACAAGTTTGTATGATTACTTAAAAAATTCTATAATTAAAAATTTGTATAATTAAATTACACATTGATGAATCAGTGAAAAAGTTGCAGAAACCTATCTCGATATAATGAACCTATTTTTTCATTGAAATATTCTAACCTTTAATTTTGTTCAAAATAAATGAAAATTACACCACTTTCAAAATAAACGATCGAATCATAATATTATATTTTTAGAATCTTTCTAAAATTTCTACGTATATCAAGTTTATCCACGTTTACATCTTATTTATATTTTAACATATTCATCGCTGAGAATTTTATTAATATCATCTTTTTAGTCGCTCAATTTCGAATTTTAATTAGTCTTAATTAAGTTTATACAAAAGACTGTCGAAAGGTAATTTCTAAGTCCTTATAAAATCACAAAATTGAAAAATCTTTTCTAAACGATCAAAAGTATCAAATGGCCAGTCTTCATTTTTCATTCATTTTACTTTTATGCTGGGATACGTGCAGTCATAAGTTGTTTAATGGGGTGTGAGTTAAAAAATATTTTGTGCTAATATCAAGTACCGTGGAATTTTTACAAAGTATTATAAATATTAAAAAATATTAAAAATTACATGTTACAATTTAGATAAAAATTTTATGTTATAATTTTCTGTTGCTTCATTCAGTTATTTTACAATCATAAGGAATCCCAACATTTTCACAGTTAATAAATTTAATTTCAACGTCGGTTATTAATGAACAAAATGGCGGTGAATGTGTTTCATACGTTTTGAGCAGCAATTATTCACTTCCATTATAATATTTATAAGACCATTATTATCCAGGTTCATCGTTCGATAAAGCGTCATTATACAACGTATGACTGTACATATCAATTTCGATAGCTATATCGAAATATTTATGAATATTCATAGAGTTTAAAATAATTTCATCTAACAACCCTCTCGAATTCCTTATTAATAATAATTATCTCTAATCATAAAAATAGCTTTCTTATTGCGTGAATTTTAGTGTCGCTTTAACCCTTAGAGTGGACAAGAAACAGTATACTTTCGTTATTTCGAGGACTGCAAATTTTGCTTAATAAATTATTTAGAAGTTTGTAATTATTTTCTATGCCATATTCTAAGGGTTAAACGATATTTGCAGTTTTCAACGTAAGCAGATCTAGACTTCGAATTTCGAAAACGTTCTTGCCCTTTCATCGCGCTGCTTATTCAAGAAACGTCGGTGTTAAATTCATTAATGCGTTAAATATTGTTAACACTAGGTTTACGAAACAACATTTTAACGCATTTCGAAAATTACAAAAACCGTTCGCATTTTTATTTTATCTTGTACTGACTTTTATCCATTGAACGAGGTAAATATTGAAGTCTATTTTAAAATTATTAAAACGTCTCGTGACCAATAATTAAAACGTTAACATTTGAAAACTAAATAACACGCAGACATTTGTTCACATATGTATATTTTTTCTCAGTATTTCAGATCGAAGTAATTATCTGAAACACGAGGAAACGAAGATTAGCGTCATGTTGAAATTTACGGTTCTGAACCCAAAAATTAGGTTACGTGCAGACAAAAAAGTGAACAAAACTCTCGCTTGGACTAAAACAATATTTTTTAATTCATACTGCGAATGATTCACGAGTTTTAAAAAATATTTTAACAGAAAATCTTTCACTCTCTGTAGCATGATTTAAAAAAAATGAATTTTTCTTCAAATAATCCCAACAAGGAAAAATAATATTTTTCGTCTAAAAAGAAATGAAAAAGCAACTGATATACTGAAATTAAAAAGTAGCAATTACGACGCAGAAATATTTTCGTTTCACAAATTACAAAATTTTTAATTAATTAATATTTTGAAAAATTACAAGGAGTTATCTGCAACGAGATGTTAATGGACGATAAAAATCTGATTTACACATTCAATTTCCAGTTACTATTAATAGGAACATTTATCGTGAGAGCTTCGATGTTTCGCAACTTTGAAACAATAACAGTTTTTCAGCGAAAAACTGTCACGACACGCTTTTAATACCTAGACATCAAATCATATTAATCACCATTCTCGTAAACTGTAGCGGCAAAACACGAAAGTTACAAGAACAGCTCGCCAAGTGATGACCCCAGATTTTAATGAGCTTTTGTACGTTGATAGATCACGTTATTATGAATACAAGAGAAAACATGGTAAATACAAGCGGACACGAGCCCGTTAACCCTAATATCTCGTTAATCCTTTATGCGCTCGTATAATTTTCAAGTAACACGTGAAATTCCTGTCGTAAATTCAAAACTAAGAGGAGCTTGGGTTGTATACCTGGAAGTAAGATTCCGCGTGGAACATGGAAGTACAAGAAAAAAAAGCTGTAACATTTCTAGTAGGATTTCTGTATGCTGCATAAGCGATGCTGATTTCTACATTTTTTATTTATTCAAGACTTCAATTTTATAACTTTTTAACTTTTCAACTTTTCAATTTTTCAATTTTTCAATTTTTCAATTTTTCAATTTTTCAATTTTTCAATTTTTCAATTTTTCAATTTTTCAATTTTTCAATTTTTCAATTTTTCAATTTTTCAATTTTTCAATTTTTCAATTTTTCAATTTTTCAATTTTTCAATTTTTCAATTTTTCAATTTTTCAATTTTTCAACTTTTCAACTTTTCAACTATTTAATTATTCAATTATTCAATTATTCAATTTTTCAACTTCTCAATTCCTCAATTTCTCAATTTCTCAATTTCTCAGTTTTTCAGTTTTTCAAGTTTTCAAGTTTTCAAGTTTTCAAGTTTTCAAGTTTTCAGGTTTTCAGTTTTTCAGTTTTTCAGTTTTTCAAGGATTCAAGGATTCAAGGATTCAAGGATTCAGGGATTCAAGGATTCAATTATTCAATTTTTCAACGATTTAATCATTCAGTCATTCAATTATTCAATTTTTCAATGATTCAATGATTCAATGACTCAATGACTCAATGATTCAATGACTCAATGATTCAATGACTCAATGATTCAATGACTCAATGATTCAATTATTCAATGATTCAATTGTGTAATTATTTAATTTTTCAACGATTCACTTATTCAATTCTTCAATTCTTCAATTCTTCAATTCTTCAATTCTTCAATTCTTCAATTCTTCAATTCTCCAGTTACTCAACTATTCAGTTATCAACATTTAATTTTTTTAATTTTTGAATTTTCAATTTTTCAATTACTCCAGCCCCCAAATTTTGAAGTCTACCCACCAAACATAAAAAATATGCCATAATTCAATAAGGTTAACCAGCACATTAAGACCCAGCGCACATAGAAGAACCAGGAATAACGTGACCCATTATCGCACGCATACTCCTTAAATTCGAAGGCAGCATTTCGAAAGCTCTCGACGTTAACAATGAATATTCAGCACGAAAGAAAAGAGGTTCCGAATTAACCCGTGACGCGGGTATTACACAAGACCTACAGCGAAATAAGGAAAAACGGTCACGTTCGACGGAGCGCCATTCGCACAGGCATTTCGCCTCAAGGTTTCCTCTCGTTTGCGGTCTCCTCGAGGTCCGGGTCCTCGTTGATGATGGAGATGTCTCGAATCGAGGGTCTACGAGCTTTCCAACCCTCGGCGGGCACCATAGGCGCTGTGGTCTTCGTCAGGAGTTTCGGTCCCAACAGGGTAATAAGAATCGCCCCTGAAGGAGCGGTGAGCAGGATCGAGAGCACGCACACGGTCATCACCGTCTCTGCATAGTACACCTGTTCCGGGTTGTTCGGGTCGATCTTGTCCAGCGTCGTTGGTGCCAAAGCAGCCTGCACCGTCGCCTTCGCCATGCAGGCTATCGCGATGAACACCTTCTCCTTCAGGTTCAACTGCGAACGCACTCCCACCAGGATCGTGATGATTATCCGAATCACGAAGGCCGACAACAGGCATCCGAGGGACAGGTACAACGTCTTGCTGTCCAACTCGTCGATCCTGATTTGGGTGCCCGTCATGGCGAACAGGATCGGCTCGAAGATCATCCAGAAGATCTCGAACGCGGTGGCCACGGGATTCTGAAACAGACGGGGCGTCACATTAGAGTGGAACGGAGACAGCTTTCCAAGATTACGGGGTATAGTTTAACCCCTTCCCGTGCTTCGACGAGTCTCACTCGTGACGCACTCACAACTCGAATGTGATTAACCCTTCGCTACGGTGATTTTTTCTGAGAAATGTGATTATGGTCTTATTTATTATAATAAAAAGTCAGATATTCTTATTTATAAAAAGCGAAGCTAAAGCCTTTCTATACAGTTCTTTATCCTTCCTTTATGTACAAAGGATAATACAAATGACAAACGTTATAACCCGCCGTCATAACTCTTTTTTATAAAAACTTTTTAATCGCTAGGAAAAAACTCTGGGCGCCTATAGGTGCTCTCAGTAATACAAACACAAAATTTCTAAGCGCCTATAGGCGCCCGCAGTAGCCAAGGGGTTAATGTTACTCGAATTTTGAATACTCTTCAACTTGAAGTTTAGATACAACTATAATTTGCGTTGTCAAGGATCCCTGAATATAAAATACTTAGAACATTTTAATTCTCTTTGTTCGTTTTAATGTTATAGTCCTGAATGGTTAGTCTTGACTAAATAAATAAATGGCACGGCAAGGGGTTAAGGGAAAAGTGACGTTTGGAGGAGTTCTGGAATAGAGTATCTTGTATAATTTGAGTAAAGTTCATTCGAGTGACTCTCCTGCTAATTACTGTGTTATTGCGCTGGTAACTGAGGTCAGTAGCTTTGTCAGTAGCTTGTGTAAAAATTTGGGGACATAGAATGGCTCCCCCATTTCAAGGACACTAGTTGTGAATCACTCTGCGTTTGCTCTAAAATACCACTATCTCGGATATTCTAAAATCACAAAGTACCAAAATACCAAACTTCGTTCCTAAATTCCAACACCTGAAAATTAGAGGTTCCTTAACACCTCAAAATCAAAAGTTCCTAAAGATGTCATTACATTTTTCACTCGCACCATCAGTTCATTTCTCATCTTCAATCATATCCCAACAATTGTCACAACATCCATAAATCCCCTCCAGCAAGTTCCTTCGTTTCTCTCCAGACATCGCGTAAATAGTCCTGTAACTAGTAAATTTGCAGGACAGATTGCAACTAGAACGAGAGGAGCCGCGGAGAAGCAACGCGATCGACAGAGAATGAAAGCGGTTCGTAATTAAGTACTGGAGGTTATATAATGAAGTTCGCCTTCCTCGAACGACGATCGATTTCATTAATTATGCGAAATACCGGGGGGTTGCTCTGGTTACAGGTCGCAATGAAAGCCCTCTCGGAAATGCTGCCGGTAAGACGGAGGGGAGGGAAAAAAGTAGAGGGTGAAAGTCGTGGGTGATATCGGGGCGGTGGAAAACGAAGAAACCGAAGAAAAGGAAAGTCGGTGCAATTCGGCGGAAATGAAAAGAACCGGCAACCCCTAATTAACTTATCCGATCGGCCCGTGTTAATTAATGCATGAAGGCGGTACAAGCGATGCAATTCAATTACGCGAAATCTACTGCCGGGACGAATTGTGCAGCGAGAATTATATCGCGAGCACATCGGTCCAGGGTTAAGAATTCAATTGGTCATTTATTCGGGACCGAGACCTTACTCGTGCCAAAAATTTCCGAATAATAGTCGGATATGAAGTTCTATCGCTTTTGTGGATATTCAATTTATATTCAGTAGGTATTCGATGGGCATTCAATTTTTTTCTGAATACGTTAACTTTCATATACGACCTTGAACGTTTTCTATTTGGGAAAATGCAAAAATATAATGGACTTTTTTTTTTATGTTGGATTGTATAATCTATTCGCTGGCAATAATGGCTCGCTTTCCTGGAAAACGTGTTTATATTATTCATTTGGGAATGAGGATTGAATTGAATTGAATCGAATAGTGATTGCTTTTTTTTCTCGTTATCGGTGTTTCTTTTTGGCAGACAGTTCTGCTATATTCGCGAGAACCAGCCAATTTAGACGGAAAGGACTTTCTTTTGTGCCAACTTACTGATAGCAGCGTGACGCTAATTCTGATTCGTTTGACAATTGTGTGCGCTGACAAATATTATAAAATTGTAATGATTTACTTTGCTGGAAGTATAATGCAATCCTCATTTTTAACATTTGAAAATTTGGGAATTTTGGGATTTGGGGAACTTGGGGAGTTTGAGATTTGGGGAGTTTGGGATTTGGGGAGTTTGGGATTTGGGGAGTTGGGTATTTGGGGAATTTGGGGAACTTGGAGAATTTGGGATTTGGGGAATATGGAATTTGGGAAATTTGGGATTTAGGGTATTTGGGATATGGGGAATTTGGGATATGGGAAATTTGGGATTTGGAGATTTGGAGATTTGGGAGATTTGGGATTTGGGAGAGTGGGGATTTGGGAGAGTTGGCATTTGAGAGAGTTGGAATTTGGGAGAGGTGGGATTTGAGAGAGTTGGGATTTGAGAGAGTGGGAATTTGGGAGATTTGGAATTTGGGAGAGTTGGGATTTGGGAGAGTGGGAATTTGGGAGAGTGGGGATTTGGGAGAGTGGGAATTTGGGAGAGTTGGGATTTGAGAAATTGGGAAATTGGAAATTTGGGTAATAGGAAATTTGGGAAATTGGAAATTTGGAAATTTGGAAATTTGGAAATTTGGGAATTTATAAGTTTGAGAATTTATAAATTTCAAAATTCCAATTACAACCCCTGCCAATATATCGATCCCAACTCTTCCATCATACCTGTATGATATCCTCCATCATCTCGTCTTTCATCGACGAAAGTCATCGAGATTTATTTTTGCTCCGCGAAAAACTTCCCGGCAAAATAATCTAAATGCACGGACACGCTGGTCGAGTTAGAGTTTGTTCTGGAACTCGCGATATCCCCCGATGTTATTCGAGTTTTCGTTACTCGATCGATGATACTTTACCATTTGTTTCCAAACAGATACACTACATGAACAGTTCACGGGGGACTAATCCTCTTATACGATAGTATTGCTACGTAACAGTGACACGGTCTAAGCGTTCGACGATCGTATCGTGAAAAATGGTAGGAACAAAAGTTCGTATTGAACGCGAAAAGCTTATAGGTGTATCCTTTTACAAAATTGCGTCCACCATTTGGTTGCGTCTGCGAAACTCTCGAAGACCGATTTTCCATTGGACAATTGCTTCTTCGTTGCGAATGCTAACAAAATAAAAGTACTGAGACACGTTATGGATGGTCTTTTCAGAAGCTTTGTTAATCTTTTCACGTATTTCAAACTTGGTTCATTTTAAGCTGCGATAACATAGTTCCTTATAATTCTTGAAAAATTGATTTTTTTAATGAAATTTATTTGGTTACGTTTCTTTATTACAATTTTGTTAGGTTATGGTTATGCTAAGGTTAGGTTATTTTAAGGTTAGGTAATGTTAAGGTTATGATATGTTAAGGTTAGGTTATTTTAAGGTTAGGTAATATTAAGGTTAGGTTATATTAAGGTTAGGTAATGTTAAGGTTATGTTATGTTAAGGTTATGTTATGTTAAGGTTATGTTATGTTAAGGTTAGGTAATATTAAGGTTAGGTAATGTTAAGGTTATGTTATGTTAAGGTTATGTTATATTAAGGTTAGGTTATTTTAAGGTTAGGTAATGTTAAGGTTAGGTAATATTAACGTTATGTTATATTAAGGTTAGGTAATGTTAAGGTTATGTTATGTTAAGGTTAGGTAATATTAAGGTTAGGTTATATTAAGGTTAGATAATGTTAAGGTTATGTTATGTTAAGGTTAGGTAATGTTAAGGTTATGTTATGTTAAGGTTAGGTAATATTAAGGTTATGTTATGTTATGGTTAGGTAATATTAAGGTTAGGTTACGTTAAGGTTAGGTAATGTTAAGGTTATGTTATATTAAGGTTAGGTGATGTGAAGGTTGTGTTATATTAATATTATTTTATGTTAAGTTTATAGTATGTTAAGGTTAGGTTATGGATAGGTTGTGTTAATGTTATGTTATAGTTATGTTATAGTTATGTTATGTTTATGTTATGTTAAGGTTATGTTAAATTGTTTCATTTGAATTTAGACGAAGTTAAAAAAATGTTCTTCTAAATCAGATTCTAAGTTCGATCAAGTTCAACCATTCATTGTAAAAATATTTCCAGAAAAGCATCCTCCTAAAAGAGTCCTTATAAATGTCCATTCATACACGAGTTTGTATCACTTATTATTTTTTGATTATATTAATATTCAGCGAGAAAATATTTCGTGGAGTAAACTCGTAAATTTCCACGTAACAAATTGCAGTGATTAAAGTTTCTAATTAAAGTTTCATGTCGCAGCCATTTTCTGTGAGCAATGTCCGATTAAAATAGGCTTCGAATCCATTATGAATCGCGCTCCTCGCCATGACACGCGATACAATTACCTCACTCAGGGTGGCGTCGTTATTCTTCCACACCCCCGTACCGTTGTCTCCCTTCAACCACCCGCAAGAGATCGTCAATTTCATTAATATTTCGCCGTGGATATTATCGTGCTTAATAACCCCGAGTTAACGGCCTTACTCTTTCTCGCTGTAAATCAACGCCATTAATACCGCGACCAACGCGCTTGTCGCCTCTATCGTCTCGCCTCGAGTCATTAAAACGAGTAAATAATTCCTTCGCGTTGGATACCCTGAAAGCCGAGTAAAATCGTTTCATTCCGCCGAACAATTATTATTCGAACAAAAATCATTAATGCATTACATCCTGCAAATTGCACTGACAATTATTGAAAATCACGGTAGACAATTTTTAAATACCGGTTCAATCTTACTACTTTACTTTAATAGCGTTGTTGAGAGCAAATTTTTTATCTTCTTTTTTACATATCTTATGTTCCGTATTGAAAAGTTCTGAATTGTCAGATTTCTATAACTTGGACATTTTTTAATATAGTACCACATATCACGTAGTACCACATACTGTATAGTACCACATAGAACAAGTACAGTAACATATACCAAAGAAAAAGTATACAAAAAACC